ACCGAAATGAGAATAGCCGTGCTGATCCCAATGGCGATGTCTACCACGCCATCGTTCTATACAAATGCTGTACCCTGGGACTATACAGCCGAGGCAAGGAGAAAATGCAAGGTCAGGATTGAAGAAAATTTCGTAGCACAGGGTATGACAAGAGCTGGTAGAGTCTATACCCTTGAACATCTGGCTGAATCAAGCAAGCAGGCCTCATTTCGGCCACCCCTCATTGAGACAGGTCCGGACGATCTTTGGATAAAAATACAGGCCAAGGAATATTCGGTCATCGACCAGTTAAACAAGACGCCAGCACAAATATCCATCCCCTCTTTGCTGCAAAATTCCAAAACACAAAAGAATGCTCTGTTAAAGGTGCTGAGTGAAGCGTACGTACCAAGTAACATCACTGGTGGGGAAATAGCTAATATGGTAGGACAAGTGCTGGAAAGCCATAAGATAACTTTTTATGAGGACTAGCTGCCACCTGAAGGGCTAGGTCACAACAAAGCACTGCACATCATAGTGCAATGCGAAGATTATTTCATCACCAGGATCCTGATCGATGGAGGTTCCACTCTTAATATTTGTCCGCTGGTAACACTCAAGAAGTTCAATTTATATAGCTCTTCTCCAACGGGATGAGGGAGTCTGAGCAAAGACAAGTAACTCTAAGAATTAATGCTTCAGGTATGAGGAATTTAAGACTAACAGTATATCATTCAATAAACTCTTATTGGTAGTTATTTTGGACTGGGCTTTGCTGTGTGAGCTATAGTTTTTCCCTTGTCCATTGTAATGAAAAATTGCAAAGCACGGAGAATTTTACTTTTATTTTAGTCATCTAGTGCTAGTGATATGATAATTGTGGGTCAAATATTGTTACCTTAGAGAAGTTGTAGGGATTCCTATCCATTTCATGTGGAATGAATAGTCTTTTCCATTCACATGGAGCAGAGGAAGCTGCACTGATGGAGCTCCTGAATTTTATGTATAGCAATACATTGACCACTGATACAGCGCCTGCTTTGTTGGATGTACTCATGGCTGCCGACAAGTTTGAAGTTGCTTCTTGCATGCGGTATTGCAGCCGGCAACTGCGTAATTTACCAATGACTCCAGAGTCCGCTTTGCTATATTTGGAGCTTCCTTCTAGCGTCCTGATGGCTGAAGCAGTTCAGCCCTTGACTGATGCCGCAGAACAATTCCTAGCTGCAAGATACAAAGATATTACCAAGTCAGTTCCATTTCTGACCAAACTCTATTTCACTCTATTTCTTCTTAAGTTCTATTAAGTTTGTCTCTAATGCTGCTGTATGTTTTTCAAATAATGATATTTCAGTCTCCACAGCATTCTTTGACCTTTAGTCAATGCAGTGGTGATACATTCGTATTTGCTAGGAGACCTTTTTTATCCGGTGCCAGAAAATTTTTCCTGGAATTTAGGGATGACAATTGGGCGGGGCGGGGCAGGGCAGGGCAAGCCTTGGTCTGCTAACATTTTGACCCGCCCTACCCTGCCCCATTTAGTATTTTCTCAGATTTTTGCCCCACCCCGCCCCACTAAGCCCTGCCTGGCCCTGCCCCGTTTATGTTTTTTCATCATTTTTCTTGATTTTTTCTTTTGCAGTATTCTAAATTAAATTTTAACTTTTTCAAATTTTTATTTGAACCTCATATTAAAAGAACCAATTTGAACTTGACTAAGTTGTTTTATTCTTGTTCAATAGTTGATTCAAGATTTCTTTTATTATTATAAATTATTTACTGAAATAGTTATTTTCATTCTGCTTCCAGCAGCATAGCTACTTTAATGGAGTAATCAGTTAAGATTAAAATACGAAATCAATGGCAACAAAATGAAATAAACACAATCTATCATAACTTACCAGACCACTAAGTTTGAGAATTTTCTAAACAAACAAATTATATCATTCAATTAATCATTTTACAAGTAGAAATATGAAGAATTTAATAAGCAACCCAACTGAACCATACTGTTACAGTTAATGTATTTAAAGCAAATCCACAAAACACAAACAAGAATGACAATAGAAAGTAGGGAGAGACGTGATACTGAATCATTAAATTAAAATGTCAAATAGATTAATAGTGCAACTTCCACATATTCCAAAATAAAGTTTGCCCTGCCCTGTCCTAACCCACTAATTCTTTTTAAAAAAAATAATTAGCCCTGCCCTGCCCCGCCACGCCCCATTTAAATCTTCCCCTGCCCTGCCCCATTTAGAGTTTGCCCTGCCCTGCCCCATTTAGAGTTTGCCCCGCCCTGCCCTGCCCCAATTGCCATCCCTACTGGAATTCTGCCCCACTATACATCGCTCAAAATTGCATCTTCGTTATTATGAATTTTTAAAGAATGAAAAAGTTTCTTTTCCATAGCCCCTAAGTATTTGTTTTGATGGATTGGGAACAAGTGAAAAGTTGGTCTCCATCTATTGCTGCTTTTGGTGAGTTCTGATTAGCTGTCACACTTCTCTGTGCTTGATAATGAGCTCATTGTCCTTGGACAGGTTTCAGGATGAGGTTATGAAGTTGCCTCTTGCTGGAGTGGAGGCTATTTTGTCCAGTGATGACCTCCAGGTAGCATCAGAGGATGCAGTGTACGACTTTGTGTTGAAGTGGACAAGGGCTCATTATCCGCAGTTTGAGGAACGGCGAGAAATCCTTGGTTCACGACTTGGTCGTTGCATCCGTTTTCCTTTCATGAGCTGTCGAAAGCTTCGGAAGGTTCTGGCATGTAATGACTTTGATCAGGAATTTGTATCCAAGCTTGTTCTTGAAGCCCTCTTTTATAAAGCTGAGGCCCCTCATCGTCAGCGAAACCAAGCTGCGGAAGAATCATCATCACCTAGTCGTCGTTTTGTGGAGCGTGCTTACAAGTATCGACCTGTCAAGGTGGTTGATTTTGAACTTCCACGGCAACAATGTGTAGTCTACGTGGATCTTAAGCAGGAGGAATGTGCTAGCCTCTTCCCTTCAGGAAGAGTGTATTCTCAAGCATTTCATTTAGGGGGACAAGGTTTTTTCCTGTCTGCACATTGCAACATGGATCAGCAAAGCTCTTTCCATTGTTTTGGTCTCTTTCTGGGTATGCAGGAAAAGGGATCTGTGACTTTTGCTGTTGATTACGAATTTGCAGCAAGAACAAAACCAGGGGAGGAGTATGTCAGCAAATACAAAGGTAACTACACTTTTACGGGGGGCAAGGCAGTTGGCTACCGCAATCTATTTGCGATACCATGGCCATCTTTCATCGCTGAGGACAGTCCATATTTTATTAACGGTATGCTCCATCTCAGGGCTGAACTTACTATCAGGAATTGATTCCTTGCTCCCACAATGTACAATTAATATTGTTGTTTTTGCTTCTCGGATGAGTTCAACACCCAATGTTTCTTGGTTTGATAAAACAAAGGCGGCAAGGTTTAGGGCTAAGTGCTAACTATCGTATGCTAGGCATTGAAATATTTTGTACTAAATCACTTTCCCCAGATCCACATGCTCTGCAAAGATAGAAAAGGATGTAAATGGATTTGATGAGTGAAAGAATGTTGGTTACTGTGACATGTTAAAATGTGATACACAGATTGCCCTGAAAATGTCATGCTGCAGTTAACAGTGTACAACATATGTAGCCGAGTTTGTATGAACATGCCAGCAAACTCTTTTTTTTTTCTTTCTAAATAAACAGCATTCCTGCAGAACCGGGGATACCGTACGGAAGGTGGTAATTAAAACTTACTAGGTGTTGTATTATATAGGAGTAGTTGATTACAGAGCATATGTTTACTGAAATTTGGGGGTCCCATGCAAGCTCTGGCCATTGGGCTTCAATAGCATTGACGAGGCATCTTGTGATCTCTTTTTGCAATGGATTGGCTTGTTTCATTACTGCGCTGCCAGTTGAACCTCAGTTTGCCAACGAAGCATAAGTTTGTCCTGAATATTGTGATAGTGAATTGGTACTTTTAACATTTCTATGCAGAGGTAACAATGTTTCAATACATGTCTCTATCAGCAGTAGTTAGAACAGCTCTTAAAATCTAACCACTTCAACTATTTCGTTCATTGCCCCCAACAATGTGGCGTAGCTTTAATGAAATAGAGTGGTTTCGTGTTCTTGGTTATTCCTCCCGGTTGTTTTATGGAAGAGGAAAATAAACTGAATGGTATGCGTTACAAACTCTGGCCCTTTCCTTTTCATTGCATTGACATATGTTCTGGTTTCTTCTGCCAAAGGATTCCCTAATTCTTTGATGCTTGCTGCTGATTGAACCACAAATTGCGTGTCCCTGATTATTTAACTTGGGATCTTTAATTTATTAGCCCCACGAATGGCACATTATGCTTCTTGAATGGGGTTCGATAGAACTTTATTAGCAAAAGAGAAAAAAATAGAACTTTATTAGCAAAAGAGAAAAAAATAGAACTTTATTAGCAAAAGAGCCTGATCTAGTTGAACTACCAGAGGAATCTTTATTGGTGTGAAAAGCTGTTTACCTATTCCTTTAAGAAATCATTTGCCGTCATCTCTAAACGCTTCTAGTTAAATCTTTAGCTAATTTAACTCCAAAATTTGATAAGTGATCATCTAACAATTAAACTGAGACTGAAACAGTATTAATGTGATAAATGAAATATTAGAGAACCTATTGATGTAAGTGACGCTTTTGAATAATGGTGGGACATTACTTGTTTTTGGGACTCGAATATCTTTAACGTTATCCTGCTAGGAGAAAATAACTTCTTGTTTAATTTTCAATCGGAGATGCACTGACATCATTGGTCCTTATTATGGGGAAAGTCTTCCCAATCACAATAGAATAAGGAATAATTGAGTGTACCGCAATCTAATAAAATTATTTGAGNCATCCCATTATCAATCACCCCCTGCACGCCAAAATTTTCCTAGACCCCGACCTAATTTTGATAGCAGACCTCTAAAACAATATACAGCCATAGCTGAACCCATCGACCAGCTGTATGAGAGGCTCAAAGCTGCTGGTTATGTGACCCCCATCCCTGCTACATCCCCTGAGAATCCTTCTCAGTGGGTTAACCCAAACAAGTCCTGTGCGTACCACTCTGGCATGAAAGGGCACATCATCGATGAATGTTGCTCCTTGAAAGAGAAGATACAGTCTTTGATTTATAACAAGGTCATCGTAGCAAAGGAAGCCGCTTCAAACGTCCGCAACAACCCTCTGCCAGACCATAAGGGTGGAGGTATCCACATGATTGAAGTAGAAGATGACTGGGATCCCGAGGAATCAATCGGGTTGATCACAGAAGGTGATGACCCAAAGAAACCAACAATTACTCTCAATACAATCATAGTCCAGATCCAATCATCTGAAGACGCTGAGGTGAATATGTTTATACATCTTGAGTTTGAAGCAGCGCCACCCGCAAAGACACCAGCACTAATTGAGGTTGAATTCGCGCCTCCTATGAATGCACCCGCACCATTTGAGGTTGCAGTCTTGCCACCCAAGGCACACAGGGTTACA